TACACAGCAGATTCAGTGACGTTAGAGCTGATCTGCGCCTCACTGCGTGCGTCCGCGGCACGTTACGGCTCCACGGGTCCACCGTAGCTGATCGTGGCCACTCTAGTCAGTGCTTGTGTTTATCAGCCAGCTGCGGCACGTTTCTGAAGCGACTCTCCGCGCTGCTTGGTTAAAAATAGTCTTTTATGAGTTGTCACAGCGTGGAGGACGGAACAAAAACAGAGGTTTCCCCAGTAACAGCTATACACAAAGCAGCGCTGAGCTCACAAACGCTGCTTTATCAGGCATATAACATGCAAGATGAAATGAAAATGACAGAAAATTTTCTAAAGATAGTTTTCCTTCAGAAATACAGTGATATAAAAACACCCGCACCTCGTTTGGATTTTTAAACGTGCAGTACGTGCTCATGTTTATTCAACCAAATCCGTCAGTTTTGATATTGTGGTGAGCGCCACAAATAAATAAATGTATGGGAAACACATCCCACAGCACAACCACCATAGCCCAACTTCAGTCTATTCCTCACCTTAACTTTAACTGCGTTTGTAGCCGGTGCCATAGCCAGACTTATAAACAAACACAGACCGGAAGTTAACTTCGGGCCAGGCGCGTGCGCGCATTGAGACATCTATATAAAGCTTGAAGCATCAGAATCGGCATCGGTATCGGCCGATCACCATGACAAGAAATCGGTACTCAGTATCGGCTGCAAAAATCCTGATCGGAGCATCCCTACTGCATACTAGTTTTAAATATCTCGTATAACAGTTAAAACCGCAATTTTAACAGTTAAATTCTATTATTGTACATTGTTGTCACATGATCCATTAAAGTGCAATAAAAAAGTGCACAAGTTAGTGTAATTCTTAGTGTGTATTTTCAAACTGTATGTTTTAAAAATTTAAAGTAATTTTCTTTTTTAATTTTGTTGTATTTTTACTGAAATTATGAGTTATATCTTAACTTTTTGCAGTTTGATTACACTAAGTCATTTATCACATTGAAATTGGTCAAATGCATTGTGGGATACGCTGTTTTGTCAGTTTTTTAATTTTTTTTATTTAGTTGACAGGGACATTGTACATTAATAAAACATTCCTGTAAATGTACCAGAATTAGCCAAAGGCTATTTTTCATCCGTAGTCCTTGGACAAGATGTTACAAGTCACCCTAAAAGAAAATTTAATTAAAAATACATTTTTGTCTGTTCATTTGAGTATTCCATGCCTACATATTGCTTCCTTTCAAATATAGTAAGTAGTATGTCTGAACATATCCTCGTCCTCGTCTGAATGTCATTTATGAGGAGCTTCTCCTCTCGAGCAGCTGAAATGAATCAACTACAGCTTGATTTTTTGAGTCTGAATGATTCTGATTGCTGAATAGAGAGATACGACATGAATAGAGGTTGTCCCTCAGCACAAATACCCAGAGTGCTCTATCAGAGCTGAAGAGTTGATGGCTGGTTATCAGCCTGTCGTATCTTGCAGTCCTGACATGCTCCGTCTGCTCAGCCAAGAGTTCTTTTGATGTTTCTGACTTCAAGTACTTGAAGAAGGCTATTAAACATGCAATGTCTCTGAAGCATGTCATCTGATTTGGTACATAAGTTTAACATGATGGATCAGTCCCGCAGGTGGATGAGGGCTGTTGGTGTATCTCCTCTCAAACACACACACACACACTTGCACAGTAGAAGGTCTTTTTCTATGTACAGTTTGCATCAGATACATGAAAACACTTGGCTTTACTGAACTGATGCAATATAAGCATTTGCCCATGTTTAATTTTATACACATATCATCTGATGAAACTGAAGGCATTTTAAAACTACTGTCTGAATCAGAGAAGAAACATCCATGCGAGCCATCCTTTTTATCACACACCAACACTATATTACACACACACACACACACACACACACACACACACACAGAGAGAGAGAGAGAGCTTCAAATGAAGAGCGTAAAAGGAGCTGTCATTTTAGAAAAATGGCTGAGCTCTTGGAAACGAGATAAAAGGACGGTCTTCTACATCTCTGAAGTTAGATATGAAAACCTTGGCCCTGTGGAGAGGCGTATGATCATTACTTTTACATTAAAACCAGCACTTTGCTGCCCATCATTTTGTAACTGGTCTGTTCCCTCTTGTATTTTTGGACAAAGGTTGTAATGCCATTTATTTTGCCATTGAGATTGCTGAAGAGTGTGTCATTAGATTAGTTTTGAGATGCCTTATGTTGTAAGTTACGTATGAAAGCATTAAAGCAGAGATGTTTTAAACTACAGTAGCAAAAAATTATTTGTTTTTGTGAAACACTTTAAACTGTCAGCTTCAGTGAATCAGTGCAAAACTCATTCATTTGCTTCATCACTCAAAACTGTTCCAAGCACTCCCCATTTTTAGTAGGAAAATCATTTAAAATAGAAACCATTTAAAATAACTGTTTTCTATTTTGATGTATGTTTAAATGTAATTTATTCCTGTGATAGCAAAGCTGCATTTTTAGCAGCCATTACTGCAGTCTTCAGTGTCACATGATCCTTCAGAAATCATTGTAATATGCTGATTTGTTGCTCAAGAAACAGCCATTATTATTATTATCCATGTTGAAGACAGTTGTGCCTAATAGTTTTTGTTGAAATGTGATACATTTTTAATCTGTTCTTTTTTAAATAGGCTATATTCTTTTATTTTCATCATGCATTACATTTTCTGGATCTCTAAGGGTTGCCAAGTCACTGTGCTGTTTCTAGTTGGCGTTCCTACTCTGAACTGTATCGAATGTCTCACTTTTCCTTCCTTTAGTGTACTGTTTTTGGCACGGGAAGTATCTATCTCTCCGTAGCTGGAGTATAATAATATAATTGATTGGTTCTGTAAGCAGAGATATGTGAAGATACACAGCTCCCCTGCAGAGACGAGCTTTGTCATATTGAATATTGATCTTCCAGTCTCAAGTCCTCTGTGGATGAGAAAGTTCTGTGTCAGACCGGAGCACTGCTCCTCTGCTTCCTCTGCTGTATTTGAGACTCCTTTTATCAAAATGCTTGTTTTTCTATGGGGTAAAGATAATTTTATTTAGCAGCTTGGCAGAACAATGTTTGCTGGAGGTAGACAAGCATACGCCTACTGAAGTGCATACTGCTTAGGCTGTGTAATGTGTGTTAGTTCAAAATACATTCAGTCGGTAACAGGAATGGTCTTCATGCTGTTTATTAATGGTCCTTAATGACATGAAACCGCATAATTAGTGCTGGGCGGTATGACCAAAAATTTATATCACGGTATTTTTCAAAATTATACCGGTTTCACAGTACATGACGGTATTTTTTTCCCATGCATGACCGGGTGTTAACCATATTTTCTACTGATTGAGAGAGGAAATACTGCAGTATATTGACTTAGAATGCCCTATTTTACTGTCACGATGAGTGAATATTGTCAAAAAATACCACACTAAATAGTGACTAAACACGACCCATTTTAATATATGTTAACCAGGAGTCACGCTCATTTATAATCGCGGCATCGTCTGATAAAATCAACATGCATCTACACTAAAGAGCGGCTATGCGGTTGTTTTGGCTATATTACTTTTTTGTCTCGTGCAGCGCACTGCCTGCGTCTGAGTAACAAACAAAAAAAAACAAACAAAAAAGTGCATGTGATATTAACAGACGAACTACGCTCATATTTATAATTCCAAACAATCAGTAAGCGACAGGTGCTAGGAAACGCTGTTTTGTACTCATTTATTGACAAGTCGGCTGCGGTGCGGCCAACTGAATGCGCTGCTTCTCTGCCGCTCACTACACAGAACAGACGCCGAGAGAGGCGACTCTTCTCCGGGAAAGTCAGACTTCACGGGACAGCACTGGCACATAGCTAAGGTTTATCCCAAAAAGTCGCTAGGTTTGTCAGTATGTATATTCTCTGGAAAAAAGCCGCTAAAAGGGTCTGAAAGTTGCGAAATCTAGTGCTAAAGTCGTGCTCGTGTGTGTGAGACGCGGGAGCTGATGGCAGG